GATGGATGGATGGATGGATGGATGGATGGATGGATGGATGGATGGATTTTCGACTTGGTTATCTCAAATATTTACTGTGTCCTGCCTTAGAAATATACCAGTAAACAATTACATAGGCAGTGGAATCATGCTGGATGAGCAATGTGTAACAGAGGCAGAAAAGGAGCCACAGAACTACAGACCAATAGAATAGGAGCCTCCTTCTGGAGCTGAGCTGCCATTTAATGCCACATTCAGTTCCTGGGGGTTTAACCAAGTACCCATTTGCAATTCCTGATACCAGGCTAAGGGGAAGGGGAAGGGGAAGGGGAAGGGGAAGGGGAAGGGGCAGGGTAAGGGGAAGGGGAAGGGGAAGGGGAAGGGGAAGGGGAAGGGGCTACATATCTTACCTCTTGGAATGAAGCATCAGTTTCTTCTTCTTGGTGTTCTCACGAGATGTCTTCACCCTCCTCCACCACAGTTCTTTCTTCCACTGTGGCCTGGATACTTGGTCCTGAGCCCTCAGCCCTGGGACTGTTGGATAGGGAAGCTGAAAATACCAGGCATATTGGCATTATGTCACTCAAAGCCCTCATGGTGGGGACCACTGTGATGGGTTCTTTCTCGACAGACAGGATGGCTATCTGTAGAAATTAAGTCACTCAAATGTTGTGTTACCATATGGCCTGAGCCTGTTCAGTATTCTTACCAGGCAATTGGTTGTGTGCTACATGGAACCTTCCAGAACCATGCCTAGCTAGACTTCTAGTGGAAATGCTGGACTTTGATATGAGTGGAGAGCATCATCCGAAGTCCCCCACCCTCAGGAATCCCTACAACTTGGAAGGAGAAGATTTAAACCCAACCTTGAGTCCCCACCCTCAGCCCCTGGGGAGAAGCAAGATTGCTTTCACATCTCAGGTCCCACCCTTGTCTTTGTTTCATAAGTCCAATTAAAACTGAGGCCTCAATGTTCCTTTTAGCTCCCTGACCCAAGCCATCTCCTAACAGGACTAAGACTTCAACGCTTTCAAGATGGGGTCATAAACTCAAGGCTTAATTTCCAGGTAAGATTCCCCCTTTAGTTTCAGTCACATTTTCCTTGTTAACTTTGCTCCCGAGCCCCGCAGAGTTACGTCTGAATAGCTCTGGTGATTAGAGTGGAACAGTTTTTCTGGTGCCTCTGAGATGGTGAGTTTCTCCATTGAAGAGCCTATGTGTTTGTTCCCTCTTTTGCTCTGCGTTGATTTTTCTGTCTGGAATTTATCTGTTAACATGAGTTTCTAGCTTCTGGAGAGGTGACTCAGTAGTTCAGAGCATTTGCTGCTCTTGCAAGGGACCTAAGTAGTCCCAGCACCAACATCAAGTGGCTCAAAGCTGCCTTTAACTCCAGCTCCAGAGGAGTTGATGTCCTGTTCTGTGAATCACATACCCCACAGACACAATTCAAAATAAAATTAAATATATGTTGTTTTGTTTTTGTTGTTGCTGCTGCTGATTTTATTTTTGTTTCAGGAATAAAATGAAGTTTTATGTCTAATGACAAATACCTTACCTTGCTATGCTAGTAAAATATTTTTTCCTCCCTCTCTCTCTCTCTCTCTCTCTCTCTCTCTCCCTCTCTCTCTCTCTCTCCCCCCTTAACCCACCGTTCGTGTGTGTGTGGGTGTGTGTGGGTGTGTGTGGGTGGGTGTGTATGTGTATACACATATAGAGCAATCTTGAGTGTCATTTTTCAGGAGCCATCCAGCTTATATTTTGAGCCAGGGTCTCTCACTTGTTAGGCTAATCTAAGCCCCCAGAGACTATCTTCCCAGTACTGGTATTAGAATGACCTGTCATCATACTTGGCTTTTTAATTATGGATTCTCATGTCCTAATGGTTGTGTGGCAAGTACTTTACCAACTCAGCTATGACCCAAACTCTAGTACAATAGGTTTTTACTATGTTATTTTTATGAACTTGTTTAGTTTTGTTCATATCTAGGGCCTTTATTTTCCCTAGCTCATATATGGCAGCGCTAGCCTCTCTTGGGAGCAGAGGACCTCCTAATGGTGGTGATATCCATAAGGATAGATTTATGAGCTCTCTCTCTCCTTCTCTCCCTGACTCTTTCTTCCTATCTCATGCTCATGTCTGCCCAGTCCCCATGCTGAGCTTGTGTTACCTCAGGTGCCTGCGTAGACCCTTCTCCTCCTCGGCTCGTCTGGGTCCTTCCACCACTGCTCTTGGCCAATGTTTTGTTATTGTCAACCTGGAGGTTTCTATTAGGCAAGGACAAAGCCAAGTGTCCAGGAGCTGCCCTCTGCTGCTCTGCAGGCAGGGGCAGGCTTCGACTCAAGCAACACCATGTGAGCTGGGGCTCAGCCTTAAGCGAGGGGAAGGAGCTTGGGTCCTCACAGGTCCTGGGGGTTCCTAAGACATGTGACAAGGCCAGTTTCTGCTGGTTCAAGGAAATACCCTGGGGTTTTGTGAAAGTTGTAAGGAAACAGTGTGCTTGAGAGGAAAAGCAGGCAGGCAGCCCTTCCTTGGTTTTTGAAGGAGGATCTTCTAGAGCATTCTTAGGAGGCGTCCCCAGCGACTGGGATGATGTCCAAGGGTTTAAGAGATTCCCATATGTTCTAGCTCTTGCTGGTGGGCTATCTTTGCAGAGGCAGTGGATGGCGTGGGTCTTACTCACTACATCCTGGGGCACATGAATGCCACAGGTGTGAGTAGACAGAATGGAGGCTATCTCCAGGATGGTGCTGGTACTGGGGTCAGGAGAGCATCCAGCATCTGGGATGCTGTCATTAGGCCTGTCTCCTTTCTCTCTTCCCATCTGTGCTTCTTCTTTTCTATCCCTGGACCAGCTAGAGTCCTCTGGGCTGTCACCTGCCTCACCTGGGCCTGAGTGTGCTCCAGGCAGCCGGAGCATTCCCAGTTCTGATCCAACAAGAAGGGCCTGTTCTATAGGCTGTGTACTTGTACAAAGAGAGTCTGGGCCTTTTCCAGGCCCTTGAGCAACTATCGGTGAGGGGTTCTCTCCCTGAGGTAACCTAAGGAGGTACTTGGGAGCAAAGGAGCCACCTGACCTAGCAGTAGGAATACCAGGATCCTGGGACTGAGCTGGCAGCAAAGAGTGAAGCCCAGGAGTCCTGGGTAGAGAAGGCAATGGGGAATCCTTGTCTCCTAGCCCTGGCCATCTCAGGGCAACAGCAGAAGTGGCTGAGGAGACATCTGAGGGCTCCGAGGCTGTGGTCACATGCAGGACACTTTTATTTGAGCAAGCCAGCAACTCCTCAGAGTCACTGTCCTGTTTCTGGGATGGCTGGGAGTCAGCTTGCTCAGAGCCTCCTGAGGTCTCAGCTTCCAGAGGCCCTGGCTGCTCCTGATGGTCCAGCCCCTCCACCTTCAGTCTCTTCCTCTCTGAAGGTAACTTGTCTTCTGCAAGCTGTAGGGGCACAGACCCACCACTGGACCGTCTGAGGACAGTTTGGGCCCCAGGGTTGGTTTCTTTTATAACCTCATCACTTGAGTCTGGTGAAGCTGTCACAGGAGCTTCTAAGTCTCTTCCTTGGCAAAGCCCAGGCACTGGAGGCATCTGGCATCCCAGGTCCAATTTGCCACTGGGAGAGAGCAAAGGGCTCTTGCCACTCAAACAGAGGCCATCTGTGCAGCCAAGGGTAGGAGACGACTTGACTCTGGCCACCACCTTCAGCTGCTTAGGAGACTCAGCCTCCAGTGAGTCTTCCAAGGATGGTCCACTTCCCCAAGATCCCAGTTTAGCTCCTGCTGTAGTGTCTCCAAGAATAGGGATCCTATTGTCTTGAGACAAGCCTGCATCCTTACTCCTTCCTACCTGTTCCTGAGGAGGAGGAGGGTCCAGTTCTGTCCCCTGGCCTGGCTTCACCTCTCTGTGTTTCTGACCTCCCTGGTGGTTGGTCTTCATTTTCTGGTATATTCTCTTGAAAGTCTCATTTCCATATACTTGCCATTTTTCCTGGGAGAACATCCTTTGCTTCCTCTGGCTACACTTTTTACTGCCTCTGCCCTTGTACACCACACCCTCCTTTGTCGCAGCTTTCTTTCCATCTACGTCCTCAGCAACAGCTGAGGGGTCCCCAGTGAGGGTATATGGCAGGTCTTCCACAGCAGCCTGTCTCACCAGGGCCCGAGGGTGACCACTGGGGATGCTTGCCAAGGTCAATCCTGGGCGGCATCCCAGCCGGGCTGGGGTGAGCCTGGGGCTCAGGGCCTTCTGCGTCCCTGGAACAGCATCCTGTGGGTCCCGTGGCTCTGGCCACAACTTAGAACTCTCGACAAAAGGCAGCGAGTTGCTTCTGGTGACAGGGACACACTCCACTGTGGTGGAGAGCTGCGTGGGGACTGAGTGGAAAAAAAGAGGTCTGGCCTTTTCCAGGGGTGTGAAGGTGGAGCGGGCAGGGCTGAGGGCAACCCTCCTGCGGCTGGGCTCCAGCGCCCGGATGTCGAAGTGGAAGGAATCCTTGTAGGTATATGGCATGGGCAGGTCGATGCTGCCCTGCTTGGACAGCACAGTCTTGCGGGGCCGCACATGGTCCAGCTGCGGGTCATCTACTACCGCCTGGTTGCGGGAGATGAGCTGAGCAATGCGTTCCTCCAGTTTCTTCTTCTCTATCTCCAGGCTGGGCCCTGCTGTTCCCTGTTCGGCCCTGTTGCCTGAAGAGGAACAGCCAGGGCCTCCTTCTCCCTCAGACTCAGCACTGTGCTCCGATAGACTATGCAAGGGGCTAGAGGCAACAGGGGGCTGCTCCACGCTGTCTGAGCGCGACAGGTAGCCAGAGTCTGTGCTCTCGCACTTCTTCAGTTGGCCTCCCAAGGCCTTGGGGTCCCAGGGCTTCTCTGAACATGTCTCCTGCTGTCGCTGCAGGAAGCATGGCTTTGGGTCTGGCAGCTTCCGCCTAGGCTGCGGGCTGGCTAGTGAGAACTCAGGTGACATCGTCTGGGTCTGATCCACAGAAGCCTCCCTGTGGGAAAGGGTGGCCCCGAGAGAGAGAGCCGATTCCACCTTCCTTTCCCTATTCTGCGCAGCAAGGGTTGAGTGGACACCTGGAGAAAGGGCTCTCTCTAGAGCTCCTTCATCTCCACGGCTATCCACTGAGGCAGTCTCTCCGGGCCTGTCTCCTTCCTCCAAAAGACTGCTCCCACTCCCCTCAGACTCTAAGGACAAGCGGGAGTTGTTGAGATGTGTTTGAGTCCGCCTGTGTTTATACAGGTTGCTCTGGGTCTTAAAGGCAATGCCACAGGTGGGACACGGGAAGGGCCTCTCTCCTGTGTGGGACCGGATGTGTTTCTCCAGCACACTGGGTTTCAAACAGTCCCGGCCACAGTGCGGGCACAAGTACTTTCCAGTATTCTTCACCCTGCCTGTGCTGACCAGTGCAGACCCCATGCCTGGACCTGGGGAGAGTACAGGCAGTGTTCCTACGATGTTTACAGTCAGGGCCGGGGTGGGTGGCTTGCCCACTTGGGTGGCACTGGGCCCTTCAGGCTGCAGCAAGGGGCTGAGGATGAAGGGGACGCTGGCCCCCTCCAGGCTGCCTGTCACCAGGGGTGCCCTTGGCTGGAGGCCCCCGGGAGGTACTGTGTGGTATAACGGGACAGGCAAGGCCTTCAAGAACACCGTTGGGGCCAGACCCTGCTCTGGTGGCAGAATGACAGGACCCAGGGTCAGGCGAGGTGAGGCCTGCCCGCCTGGGCCCCCTGGAATGCCAGGTACAGAGACTGTCTGGTCCGTGGCTGATGGGGTAGGATGAGAAGGTTCCGAAGACTCCATTCCTCATTGTCTGCGTGGTCCAAGATTATGTCAACCTGTGAGTGAGAACCACACTTTACCACGGGGTCTCTTCTCCCCATTAGAAAGTATTATAGTACCTTCTGTGAACCCCAACAACAATCCTCTAACACTCTTGTCCCCAAGTTAAGAAAGGTGTGGTGTTGCCAAACTGTAAGCCTAGTTACTCAAAAGACAGAGGCGGGAGGATTACAAATTCTAGCCCTGTTTCAATGACAGAGTGAGACCCTGTCTCAAAATAAAACATACGAAAAGAGCTAGGGACGAAGCTCAGTCATGGAACACGTGACGAGCATGCACCAGGGCTCTCAGTTGAATACTCAGTAACACACACACCTACACAGTCACACACACACATACACACTCCTACACAGTCAGACACACCTACACAGTCACACTCACACACACACACACTCCTACACAGTCACACGCACCTACATGCACACAGGTGAGCACCATGTTGGGTTGATTAACACCCACACTGACTATTCCAGGAAGTTCAAATCCCTCTCTTGCCTATGATGCAGGGTTTTTTTTGTTGTTGTTGTTTTGTTTTTTTTTTTACATCTACAAGAAGTCCTGAGTAAGGGCCCTTCTCACTCTGATGTTCTGAGCCTTTGACCAGGAGGACTACAGTAAGAACTGACCTTAGTGGGGTAAGGGTGGGGTGGGGCTTCCTAGACTAGGAAACTAAGACTCAAGGCTGTGAGACAAACTTGAATTTCAGAACATTTACACATTACACTTTGAACTCATGAAACCATGGCCCAAATATTGCATGACGAATTCTCATAGTATTGTATTAGCTTGTCCCTGCACCCAAAGGGTTGTGTCTATGCGAAAACATTACAATCTTATCAAGTTCAAATGTAAATGGGAACTTTGCATTTGGCATCATGACACTGCAAGGAGTTCTCATCCAACTTCAGGATGAAGCCTAGGTCTCTACTCAAATCCCGGTCCCATACAAGTTGAGATTAAGTCAGTTGCTGGTAGGCCAGGAAGAGCAGACAGACCACTACCAGGCTACATTCGTTCTTCAACTCATGAAGGGAAAGTCAGATGCTGGAGGGACATGTTAGGTAGGCTGATGACACCCCCCTCATCTAAACTTGTGTGAGCATTGTACCACCCACAGACAGTTCCTCAAGGAAACTGAAATCTCCCGTTTTCAGCAGGTTGTCTGTTCCCCCAGCATCACTGCACTGGGATAACAAGGCCACTGTGAGCAAGCACTTGCTCGAGAAAACTGATGTTAGATTCTCCAGGAAATTTGTGAGCCAGTTCTAAGTCATAGCCTCACTTAAAATTAAGTTGTGCTAGATGTAGTGGTGCAAGCCTGTAATCCCAGCATTTGGGGGCTGGAGCAGGAAGATTATGAGTTCCAGGCCAGCCTGGGCTACATAGCAATGCCCTGTTTTAAGAAATTGAAAAAGAAAAGGAAGTTTTATAAGTAGGCTACTAAATAAGTTATGTTGAGAGAAAAGATACTACAATTACATATATTCTTTTTAAAAACTGTTATTACTATGTGTGCATGATGTATGTGGGTGCAAAAAGCTCAGAGGACAACTTTGTAGAATCAGTTGTCTTTCTGCTTTTGTGTGAGTCCCAGGGATTGAACTCATGACACAAGACTTTTGCACCAACCCCCTTTAGCTATTAAGTTTTACAACTTGAAGCCATGTATATATATATATATATATATATATATATATATGCACAAAGGATTAAAGCTAGCCTCTGGTTCATGCAATATGCAAAAGAATAATTCAAAATAGATCAGAGTCATAAATGAAAGATCAAAAGCTACAAGACTCTTAGAAGACAGAGTTAAGTCTGGACTTTGGAACTGGCAGCGCATCCAAGATACATGCCAAAGGCATAGCCAGCAAATGGAAAAGTAGAAAACTTTGACTCATTAAAATGTTTGTGTATGAAGAACACAAACAAGAAAGTGAAGAGCCACACAATGGGAGGAAGTATAAGATCTGACTGTAGAAAGACGTGAGACTGGGGCCTAGGAGTCTGTTGTACAGGCATGGGGACCTGAGTTTGGATCCCCAGAGCCTGTGTGAAAGTCAGATACAGTGGTGCATGACTGTAGTCCCAGTGCTGGATAGGACAGACACACAGAGCCCTGGAGCTTGATGCCCAGCCACTCTAGCTAAACCAGTGAGGTCCAGCTTCAGCGAGAGGCTCTGTCACAATAAAGCTGAGGGGTCAGCAACACAACTCAGAAGGTAAAGGTGTTTGCTGCACAAGCCCCACAGCTTAGATTCGAACCCCCAAACCTACATAAAGGTGGGAGGAAAGAACTGACTCCATATGGCTGTCTTCCGGCCTCTACATGAACCCTGTGGTGTATTCACACCATTCACCACCGTACGTGCACTCACATTGTAATAATAAATAAAAAAATAAAACAAACTTCAAAGTAATAAAAGGAACTAAGCAGACAGAGGTTGAGGGAGAAGCTCAGTGTTGACCTCTGACCTCCCCACACATGTACACATGTGATCACAAACATGTACACACACATACATACACAGAACTCTTTAGAACTCAGTGACAAATGACTCAACTTGAAAATGAGTGGGGCCTGAAAGGTGGCTCAGCAGGTAAGGGCCCTTGCTGCCAGGGCAGACGACCTGAATTTCATCCCTGGGGTCGACGAGTGGAAGAAAGGAAGTGACTCCCAGAAATAGTCCTCTGACCTCCATACACACGCACGTGTCCACACACGCATGTCCATACACACACGTCCATACATACACAAATGAATAAATGTAATTAAATAAGCAAGGGCATTGGAGAAGAGAGGTGAGAGGATCTTAAGATTGAGGTTTGTCTAAGCTGCAGAGGAAGACCCTACCTCAAAACACGTTTGGAAAGAAAAAGCCAATGGGATAGTTTCCCACTCGCCAGCATAGCACAGTAAGAACAGTGAACAGAGACTGGCGAGTCCTCGTAAGGGTGACTCTACCAGGCCTCCACAGAACAGAGTTTGGTAGTCGTGCGTGTGTGTGTGTGTGTGTGTGTCTGTGTGTGTCTGTGTGTGTGTGACTATTTCCTCTGAATTAGAATGTTCTCTCCCACGAGAAGAAAGTAGGTTCCTCAGACTCAAGGCTTGGGAAGTCACCAGAGCCCACCCTCAAGTTCTACACACAGTGACAGGTGCTGGGAGAGGAGACTCTTCAGTGGAGATGCCTGAAAGTTGTGTGTGAGCTCCCGCTTTACCGGTTCATCACCCGTACTGGAGTGGGCTGTCAGGTGACATGGCTACCCCCCTTTGTACTATGTTACTGTGACCCCAATAAACTTCTTGGTTCATCAAGTTTTGTTTCCTTTTGTTCTGTTTTGTTTTGTTTAAGACGAGGTCCTCAGTGTGACTTTCAATATATAGCAATCCCCCTGCCCCAGTCTCATAATTGCTGGGATTGCAGGCGTGTACCACCACACCTAACTCAACTTCTTTTCTTCCTTTTCTTTGTTCTTGTTCAGTCAAGGTCTTGCTGTGGAGTCCAGGATGGCCTGGAATTTGCCATCCTCCAGTCTCAGCACTCTGGATACTGGGTTTACAGATGTATACCACCAGGACTGATAGGCAAAATAATTTATGTGAAAAAATTTACATCTGCATCTACCATGGAGAAGAGCTTGATTCATCTGTGTTTTCAATAATAGTACTCAAAAATAATATAATATTTTGAACTATTATCCAGTAACTCTTCCTACTCCTGCCTCTCCCTCCATCCTTCAACATTCATTCACTCCTCACCCTCCATTCATGGGTTGTACCTCTAGTGTGGCTCCCAGGGAGAGGTAATTAGGGAGGCTGTGGTGGAGTATACTGTTGTATTGCTGTGCCACCCCTTAGGTATGGCCATGGGCACAGGGAGTGCCAGCAAATCTGGGGCTGACTGCATCAGACTGCTCCAGGAGACATTGTCTCCTGGCACCTGAGTACCACCTCAGGCTCTGTCTGGTGTTCCTGGGCCGAGCAGGCAAGGCTGCCCTAGTTGGTTCTGAAATGGTGTCTGGTGGCTGATGGGTGAGGCTTCTGTTGAAATCCCTGTAGAAGAATTGGAGTCAAGACATCTGAGTTCTGAGCCCTAATCCTAAGGAAGGAAGTGTAATGAGCAAAATCTGAGCTACTAGCACTTCTCTGATAGTCCCAGTGGGCAGGCGGGGAGGAAGTGGAAGGGAGGGGAGCCAGAAGGAAGGGAGGAGTACTTCCCACCTCAGCCTGCCTCATGGGGAGTTGAGGAAGAGGTAAGTGGGACCCTGTGCCAGGCAGTCTGCAAAAAGCAAGTGTCCTGAAGTGAGGGGAAGACAGCCCACAGAGTCCTCTGCTGAGGAGTAACCAGCAGCCCTGATATCCTCCTACAGAGCTGTATCCCTGCAGAGGGGTAAGATGCTACATAAGGAAGGAGTCTCAGCAGGTAGCTGGGGAGCTGAAGCCCAGTGACAGGTGGCTCCAACAAACAAGCCCATTACTGGGGAGAACAAAAATCACAGCCGGAACTGACTGTCATGGGTAGGAGGCTCAGCCCTGGAAACAGCAGACCCACCTGCCACCCTTACAGCTTGGCTGTCTGAATCTGATCTGCAATCATAGCTGATCCCCACTGGGACCACACAAATGATACCCTACCACTGGGAGACCAACACTCTTGTCCAGGGCAAACTCTACGGAGCACAGCTGATTTTAATCAAGGAAGGGCTAGTTGTGCTGTCCCTGTTTGGATTGATGGGAGGATTGAGGGAGCAGGGACTAGATTGCCCAGTCACTTAGACCCAATGTCAAATGATCCCTCAAGGGTTGTCACACAGAAAACAGGGCTCCTACCCCTGTTCTGCCAATTGTGTGCTACCCCCCCCCCCATTGAGGGTCACATTCTCTGGTACAGACATTTGACTTTATGGATATATATGTAGACACAAAGACTTTGCAGAGGAGTGATGATCCAAGAGAAGACACATAGGACAAAGATAGCAATGGTGATTTTCAAAG